AAATCGGTAGTTTGGAGTAGCGAAAGTGGACAATCATAAATATATATATATACATCTTGCCATATCGCCAAAAACATCACTAGAAGTAGAAGAAAAAGAAGAATAAGAAGAGTTGCAGCTGGCCACACTGAATCATTTAATTTTCCCAGTTTTTGCTTCTTCTTTTGCTTCTGGTGTTTTTTTTTTGGCAATTTGGCAAGAGAGGTTCAGCTTTTATTTTGATAGTCCACTTTCGCTTTTTGGCAAGGAATTTGTATATTAGCTAAATATTTAGTTTTGAGCTGATAGCAAGATAAATATTTAGCTTGCAAGTTGAATATTTAGGTCCAAGCTAAATATTTAGTTGGCAAATTAAATATTTATTCTGGCAATGAAATGTTTAATTTGGAAAATGAATATTTAAGTCAGAGATAAATATTTAAGTAATAAATTAAATATTTATTTTTGAAATTAAATATATAGCTTGAAAAATAAATATTTAGGTCCAAGCTAAATGTTTAGTTAGCAAATTAAATGTTTAGTTTAGGAATTAAATGTTTAGCTTAGAAATTAACTGTTTAGTTTAAAAGTTAAATATTTAGCTTTGAAACTTAAATGTTTAGCTTGGAAAATAAATATTTAGTATGGAAATTTAATGTTTAATTTTGAAAATAAATATTTAGCTTGGAAATAAAATATTTAAGTTACAAGCTAAATATTTATTTCACTAATTAAATATTTAACTTGCAAGTTAAATATTTAGTTTGTAAACTAAATATTTAGCTTTTAAATTATATATTTCGTTTGGACCTATGACATTTATAAATGTATGAATAACATGGTGAAAATATGACTTTGAAAAAAATAACAAAACAATTTTTTTTCTTATGAAATTCTAAATAAACCAAAATATTGCTGTTCATTTTTGACTGTGTAACTTTACAAACGGCACCCCATACATGTATGTGTTGGTTTTAGCCTTGAACTTAGCAATTGTTTGAAGTACCTTAGAGAGGTCAAAGTTGAGAGCTTCAGAGGTTTTTGCAAGGTGTTCCAGGAGCGGAGTAGGAGAAGCCCCTTTTGCCAAATTCAGTCTGCACTGAGGGGACACTGCCGGTAATGATGTCCTGAAAGCGCACGCTGTAGCTGCAATCACGAAGTGACATGTAGGAGGCAAAGTCGGAAGTTTGTTGAAGTCTGTGGATTGAAGTTTATGGCAAAGTTTGCAAACAAACATCCACAACCAGTTAGCATTCAGATTCTAAGATGGGAGCTAGTCTCAGCTACCACACCATTTTTTTTAAATCACAGTTTCTGTAAAATTGATAGTTATAGTAATTTTTGTGACTGCTAAGATTGCTTTGCTGTGGCGGCCATCTTAATTCAGATTGACTTCAGATGTTAATAAATTGTAGACGTCACTCTAATGATTACATTCTTAAAGTTTTATTAAAAGCCAATTTTGTGAAACAGGTCTCACTTGTAAATGAGTCTTCGAGGCTCAGTGTGATTTATCTGTATAAATAAAGGTTGAATGAATGAATAATTCAAGAGATGAATGAGAAAATGAGTTAATGAATGAGACGAACACACACAAAATGTTATTTCTCCACCTCTGCAGACAGGTGATATTAATAAAACACATCAGAGCATTCTATAATTTTCTGTTGGTACAGTTTTATTGTACATCACAGAAAAATGAATGTGGCCTCAAGCTGTGCGAGTAGAAAACTGGATTCACTCAGTGATCTTTCATCAGTGCTTTTTAACCACAGCTTCAGCCACAGTTGCATTAAAACTATGTTCCATGTCTGTAGTGCTCACTGCCGAAATGCTGCCAGCTGATGACCCATCTGAGCTGTCCAATCAGATAACCGCCCCTGGAATCCTGAAGATCTTTGGAAATGAAATCTGTGTAGGTGCTCACTACAAGAGCGTCCTGGCCACCACACACTCCAGTGCGAAGGAGCTCGTCAAGGAGGCCCTGGAACGGTGAGAGCACGTGCTGTCAGCTTCACGAGTTTGCCTGACACATGTGGACGTGTCTTTGTGTATCTGCTCAGGGTGAGTTGTGGCTCACCACATGCTGAATGTGCTGCACTGCAACTACGTGAAAAAAATACCACAACTTGCTGAATCAACAGAAGAACCACAGAAAGAATTTACACATAATTACATTGATCAGTTTTCTTGTTTCAGACTAAAACAAAGTTGGATCAATATGATCTTTATTGTTCACCACAGAAAGGTGGAAGGCTGGCGATAATAATTTGTGTCTGGTCTGTTGTTCATTGTTTTAGCAAAATATCTCATAAACCTCATAAAATTCTGAGAATGTGGTCTTTGGATGTACCGTGCCTTGGATGTTTTATGCTTTTATTGCTCTTATAAATCAATTGTGGTCATTATAAATTGGTTTCCACAACAAAATAATTTTAAAAAATATCTTCTTCAATATTAAAGTGAAATCAAAGTTCTACAGAATAATATTAGTTTAATAAAAATATATAATATACTGTAAGTGATGGCATATTTCACCTCCTATGAAGTGTCCTAATGCATCTCAATGTAAAATGATTTCCAAGGCCCCAAACTTTCCCACAAATTCTGTTAAGTCCATCACCAAGATATATTAGGAATATGGGGCATGTGTATATCTACCAAGAGCAGGCTTTTCTCACAAACTGAGGGCTCGTGCAAAAACCAGAATAGTGAGTGAGACCACCAAGACACCAGTGAGCACTCTGAAGGAGTTACAAGCTCCAGCAGGTGAGATGGGAGAGACTGAGCATACATCAACTGTTGCCCTGGTTCCTCACCAGTCTAAGTTTTATGGAAGAGAGGCAACAAGAAGACCACTGTTAAAGAAAACTCCGATTAGATTTTGACAAGTCTTTCAAATCTTCAACTAATTCAAGACGACCACCACAACTTCCCCAAAACAGAAATGCTGTAGCCAAGTCTAATTTATTGAGGTAAAGATTGAAGGGGTAGTAGCTGAGGCTCATACTCAGCACATACATTGGGCAGTTCCCTCTCTCTCAACACTGGAACTGCAGAGCTAACCACCCTGACTTCGGACCACTACGGACTCTCATGTAGTAGTCAGCGACATCGTGCCTTACAGAGTGTCCATAGCCTCAGGAGACCCTTCTTGTTCCTCCGCATCACAATAACTGGCCATGGTTCACCACCTCAGTGCTTCTTTACCCATGTTTTCCCACCAACCCTCTTAGAAGATGGTACCTGCAGCATTTATGTCCTTATCAGGTGAGATATTTGGGACGTGCTGCAATATTAAGGATGCCTACAAACACCCTGATGCCACTTTGGTCCATTTGACCATTTATCAGTGTTTCATCCAGCATACAAACAGTGCCTCGTGCAGCCATTTTGCTATTTGTAAAATTTACTACTTCTATTTATGTTTGTTATTCAAACGTTGTGGTGAAGATGGAGCTGAGCTGTAAGACAAAGCTCTCTGTTTACAGTCGGTCTACGTTCCTACCCTCACCTATGGCCATGAACTCTGGGTAGTGACTGAAAAAATGAGATAGTAGATACAGGTGGTGGAAATGAGTTTCCACTGCATGGTGGCTGGACTCTCCCTTAAAGATAGGGGAGAAGTTCAGTCATCCAGGAGATACTTGGAGTAGAACCGCTCCTCCTCCTCATCGAGAGGAGCCAGTTGAAGTTGTTAGGGCATCTGGTAAGAATGCTTCCCGGGCACCTCCCTAGGGAGGTGCTTCAGACACGTCTGACTGGGAGGAGACCCCGGGGAAGACCCAGGACACACTGTCTCTCAGTTGGCCTGGTAACGTCTTGGAGTCCTCCCAGAAGAGCTGGAAGAGGTGGCTGTGAAAAGATGTCTAGACCTCCCTGCTCAAGATGCTGCCCCCCCAAGATCTGACAGCAGAACAGATGGATGGATGGATGGATGGATGGATGGATGGATGGATGGATGGATGGATATTCAAACATGGGCCTTGGTCATATTTTCAAGTGTATGTCTTCTATATCAGTGTCAATGAGAACTTTTGTTTTGTTACAGAAAGTTTTGAGGAATGATGAAATATTGGGATGTTGGTGTGGTTACAATATTTTAGATGAACAAAGCCAGCCTGTCCTGTTCTATTGTTTGTACTATTTACAATAAAGTACAGCGAGTGTGCATTCCAAGCAGCTCAGTTCGGTGTTCTGAAAAAGTCTGGCCCAAACCCCAGACTTGTGTGAAAGACAGCCCAGGGTCGGCTCGGACTCTGAGGCGCCCTGTCTGCCAGTCTCTTTCTGCCAAAAGCTTAACAGAGTTATTAATGCAAGTGGTATTCAGCTTGTAAAGGAGAAAGGACGCAATTATTCAAATTGCAATGTTTCACTGTAGAGGCAACATATGCATCATGCATTCAGTAACTAGTTACAACTTTAACACAAAAAGATGAGAGCATATTTTGAATATTGTTTATTTATTAAACCAGTGGAAGGTCTCCTGGACAAATCAGCCATTTGTTTATAACTGGTGTAAAATAATTGCCAAATCTTTCATGCAAGTTCATTTTCTGTGGCAACTCTTGAAGAAGAAAGCAGCCAAAAGGAACTTTATTTATTTATTTATTTACTTATTTACTTATTGCCATTCCTAACAAATCCTAAAACTTTTTAAATTATTTAACTTTATCAGAATTGTTTCAAATGCTCCCATAAACTTTCAGTCACGTGATTCTTCTTCTTCTTCTTTTCCCTCTTCAGGGGTCTTCACAGCGAGTCATCCTCCTCCATCTCACTCTGTCCTCTGCATCCTCTGTCCTCACTGCAACTACCTCCATGTCCTCTCTACCTTCATCCATGTATCTCCTCTTTGTCTTTTTCCTGGCAGCTGCATTTCTAACATCCTTCTACCAAAATGCCCACTGTCCTTCCTCTGGACATGTCCAAACCACTGTCCCTCCTCTGGACATGTCCAAACCACTGTCCCTCCTCTGGACATGTCCAAACCACTTTCCCTCATCTGGACATGTCCAGACCACTTTCCCTCCTCTGGACAAGTCCAAACCATCTCAGTCTGGTCTCTCTAACTTCTTCTCCCAGTTCTTCAACCTGTGCTGTACCTCTGATGATCTCATTCCCAATCTTATCATCCTTGTCACTTCTAAGGAGAACCTCAACATCTTCATTTCTGCCACTTCCAGTTCTTTCTCCTGTCTTTTCGTCCATGTCTCTGTCTCCAGACCATATAACTTCTCTCTTGTAAACTTTTCCTTTGACCTTTGTTGACACCCTTTTGTAACAAATCACTCCTGAAACTTTTCTCCATCCACTCCATCCTGTCTGGACTCTATTTATCACCACACTCCCCATTTTCCTGGACAGTGGACCCCAAGTACTTGAAGTCCTGCACCTTTGTGACCTCTGCTCCTTGTAGCCTCACTGTTCCACCGGCCTCCCTCTCATTCACACACATGTACTCTGTCTTACTACAGCTGACTTTCATTTATCTTCTTTCAAGTGCATACCTCCACCTCTCCAAGTTCTCTTCCACCTGTTCCCTGTTCTCACCACAGAACACAATGTCATCTACAAAAAACATAGTCCACGGAGATTCCTGCCTGACCTCATCTGTTAGTCGGTCCATCACCAGAACAAACATGAAGGGGCTCAGAGCCGATCCTTGATGCACTCCCACCTCCACCTTGCAGTTATCTGTCACCTCTACAGCACATCTCACAACTGTCCTGCTGTCCTCATACATGTCCTGTATCACTCTAACATGTCCTGCTGTCCTCCTGTCTTGTGCTTTTTCTAAATCCACAAAGACACAATGGAGCTCTTTCTGACCCTCTCTGTACTTCTCCATCATCATAGTTTGTTAGTCTTTCAAGAGGTAGAACACACAAAACTTTTTTCCCCCATTATTTTACATTCAGATGATTTTATTTGTATATGCAGCTTGATGTTATGGGAACTTAATCACACACAAATGAAAAATGGAAATAAAATGTGCTCCTGTAAAAGTAGTCTGCTCTGGTTATGTGGCCACTTTACTGATTTCTGATCTTGTTGTAGTTTAACTGGAAAAATACTCATAAGAAGCCATTTTGCACATGTGCACCAAAATAATTAATTTGTCCAAAAAACATAAAATCATGGATTGTAGTTATATCAGTTTCTTATACAACACCAGTGTTTTTGTGTCTGCACATGCAGTAATGTGTCTTTCAGTTTGTGGAGGTGATTTTCAATTTAAACTCGTTTATTTCTATAAATAAGTTGATTATTTTATCTAGGTATGGCCTGAACAAGAGGGAGGCAGAGTCCTACATCCTCTGTGACACCATCGGCTCTATTGACAACCATCAGTGGAGGACTGAAGGGTTCAGAGTTGTTGGCGACCATGAAAAGCCCCTCATCCTGCAGTCACTTTGGAAACCTAAAGAGGGTTTGGTGCGACGTTTTGAAATCCAGCAAAGACGTTTGATCGAGGAGAAGATATCTGGAGAGAAGGACACCATCACTGCAGGTATGTTGGGTCTCTAGAGGAGGATTTCTTCAGGGTGTCAACATGTTTAAATAACCTCAAATACACACTAGACAATGAAGCCCTTTAAGTAATGAACAAGTTTTATAGTAAGAATTAACCACAGCTGGATTTGTTCTCTTGTATTTCTGTTACAAAATAAAGATTTTATAGTTTCGTCCATAAAACTTTTATAAAGCTGAATCTGATGAGTTGTGCAGAAACACAAAGTGATGTCATGACCTTTGTGAGAAGTTGTCTGCCTTGTGTTCTTTCTTTAGATTCTTGTGTTTCCTGCCTTCCCCAGTATGTGCCAGCTTCTTTCTTCACCTGCTCCCAATCCCAGTCACCCCAGGTGTTTGTAATTCTGTCTCCTTCGCGTCTCTTTAAGTTCAGCATCTTTGTGTTTACTGGTTGTCTGTGGATTGTGCTTTCCAGTGTTGTCATGCTCCGTTCCTCCCTTGTCTTCTTGTATCCCCGACTTCATGGAAGTTTTGCTGCACGTCAGCCTTTGTTTTGTGTTTTTGTTTAAGTAATAGTTTTCTTTATTTTACCTTTGAGTTCCTCGCCTCTGTCTGCTCTCTGGGTTCAAAACCTACAGAACATGATAGCCTTTACAGCAACGTGTCTTTAATTAAAACAGAATGAGGTCCACCTAAATAAAATGG